GGAAAATGTCTGGCTCTGCAGCTTGGAGACGGGGATGAGTACCGCGCCCTGGAGTCAGACACGATTGGACTAAATATCAAGGGAAACGTTTACCTTTACATAGTTCTAATACAGTAGAACTTCGTGATTTGCTAAACAATCTGGATCAGAGTGCTGTCCTCTGAAGATGCCAGCCACAGAGACTGGCAAAACATTAGGAAGAACAACCTTCAGAACACAGCCAAAGAGCCCGAAAAACCCACAACAACCATTAGGTTCCGGCATTGAAAGCCTTCGTGAACACATTACAGTGGTGCCTCACTTAACGAGCGCACCGTATAACGAAGAATCCGCATAGCGATCCCTTTTTGGGAAACATCGCTGGAGGGGTAAGTTTTGGCGCCTATTGGAACGCATTAAACTAAGTTTAATGCGTTCCAATAGGCCTTTCCTGCCCCGTACAGCGATGTTTTCGCATAGCGAAGGTTAATCCGGAACGGATTAACCTCGCTATGCGGGGCACCACTGTAAATCTGGATTTTTTTCAGTAGCTATTTCAGAAAGCTGTTTTCCTATAAACTAACTATGGAATCCTTATAAGGTGTTTTAAGTGAAATCCTTTGAAAGTGTAATTGGAAATCCCACTGAATTCAACAGGATTTACTCCTAATATGCATTGCATCCCAAGTGCTTTATAACTAGAGAAAAATCTAGGTCAGGGTCAGTTCATACATAATGTCAAACTGTTCTTTGGTACTAAAGAAGGGAGAATTGTGAATGAGCGCTACATTCTTCTCTGTCCGTTCTTTACAAGTAGGTCCTGCCTAATAAAACTCCATTCTGATTTACAGCAAAGTGCAGTTTTCCTTCACATCTAAAGCAACAAATTAGGGTTTTGTTTGTGTAGCCAAACAGGATTGCAAGTCAAGATCAAATCCAAGTTTAAAGGGCATTGTTTGCTGGGTAAAAGGAAATGGTGATCACACTGCACAAGCAACAGAGGAGGAAGAATACAAGTATAGGATCTGTTCCTATAATAAGCCATGGTTTGACGATATATATGAAGTGACCCATAGTGAATTACTGGTGCTTCATTATGGAGAACAGTTTTATGGTTTTATATTTTACGAATCCGCATAGCGACGCGTTTTTGCGATCGCTAATGTGATCGCATTGCGATGTTTAGATAGGCCAAAAATCGCATTGCGATGATCGGTAAGCGTTTCGCTTACTGATCTTCCCATTGTGATGTTCTAAAAACAGCTGATCGGCGGTTCCAAAATGGCTGCTGGAAGAAGAAAATGGCCGCCCGCTCCGTTTTCGCGCCCTGCCCTCACTGAGGCCGCGAAAATGGCAGCCGGATGGGGAATCTTTGCTTACCGGTGAGTTTTTGCCCTATAGGAACGCATTAAACAGAGTTTAATGCGTTCCTATGGGGTTTTCAGTTCCGTTTAGCAATGTTTCCGGATAGCGACGTTAATACAGGAACGGATTAACGTCGCAAAAACAAGGTGTGCTGCTTATATCGAAGTCAAATGAACTAAATCACATACTATTCCTGTATTTTGGAGGGGAATTAAAGTCAAATGAACTCATACTATTCCTGTATTTTGGAGGGGAATTCATGTTCAAATGTGACCCCATTAACAAAAAGCTCTTAGCATGAAAAAACAAAAGATCCTAGCATGTTGGAGAATACAGTGAGACCCTTTCCCTGTTATGCCAGCTCTATAAGTTTTATGTTGGATCAATGGTTGTGCCCCACCCCGGCTTTCAATTTCCAATGATACAGTCCAGGAACTACAGTATGTGATTCATCTGTATTACTCCTAACATTGCACTGTTTTCATTTTTAACACTTCCACTGAAAACACATTACATGTTCCATGACAATGCCCCATCAGTTATTTCATAGTTATGTATGATGTGGATAA